CACTATTATTCACCAAAGACAGAAACCTGACAGACATCCTACATTCCTCTTTCATCCCTTTTTCTCCATATTCAAGTCTTGCAATCAATTCCAAACATGCCAGGCAGTTTAATGCCTTAGTGTTTTTGAACATATTATTCCCTCTACATAGAAAATCTTCCACTTCCTTCTTTACTTGACTAACCTCTCACATCCTTTAGAACTGAGCTGAAGGATTTTCTCCTCTAGGAAACAAAAGCTAACGAACATTTATTACACACATACTATATTTTAATCACTGTGCAAAACACTGCATGCATTATTCTTGCCTAACACCCTAAATACAGTGATGAGCTAGGTACCATTATGTTTGAATAGATAGGTAAGGCCCAGAAGTAACTCATGGAAAGTCATATATAAATAGTAAATAGTAGAAAGAGAATTCAAACCTAGGTCTGTCTGAGTGTCCCAGAACATAAGAACGCCTTTAGCCACTCCACTATACCACAGCTTCCCTTTTCCACCCACTCCTCAAATCCCATAACCTCTTGATTACTGAGGGGTCTCTCCCATAACTGTCGTTAAAAAGGTACTGTGTAGTACATTATAAATCTTTATTGTTTGGTTTGTTTCTTATCAAATGAGTCTGTGAGCAACTTGAAGACAAGGTCTATTTCTTTTATCTGTTTCCCTATACCTAGCACATGCTGGATCCTCAGAAAGTATTAGTCTCCTTCTCCCTTTCCCCCCATAAGTCAGAAACTATTTCTTCCCCCCTCCCCCAAATCCCCACTTTATACCTCTCTTCGGACACTTCTGCCTCATATTAGCATCTTACATGCCTTATTTACCCCACCAGACTATAGATGGCAGAGAACAGTTTTTAAAATCTTTATGCAGATATCACTGCCTGTATTAATTGTTGAATAACTGATAAAACCCATAATTAAAACAGCTGTTATTTAACTGCTTTATTTCTGTTGTGTAGATTTCTTCCCACTCCGATTAAACACTAGCCCCACCATTAGCAAATTACGGTTTCCAAGCCACAAAAGGCCTTATGATTAATTTATCAAACATTTCCCGACGCTAGGCATTGGGGGAAATGCACGTTTGGATTAGAAAAGGGTTTCCGATCTCCAAAAAGAAATTCAATTTAGTAATGCACTCCCGAATCTAAACAGTGTAGAACGCTAGACTGTTCGAGTTCTGTGAGTCACGTGGCTCTGCAGAGTGACGGCGATTGTGAACGTGGTTTCAGGATCACGTAACAGACTACACAACCGGCTAGTTGACTAATCCTCTCGGACTCGTTACGAGCTGCCTTGCCCAGACATATCTAGTTTGGGGGTGCTGAGAAGAGGTGGAGAAAGCTACAACCCATCTCCCCTCAGACCTGTGCATCCTCCCAGACCCTGCATCAAAGGGCTTACCCCGCCCCAGGCTCACCCAACACCCCACTTTCTCCCTGGGGACTCGGCTAGCTTCTCAAAGAACCCTCCCCTCTCTGGGTGCCACGCAAATGTGGGACTTGAGCAAAGGCCTGCACATACTACAGCCGCCCCCTCCCCACTTTTTCGCATCGACTCCGGACCCAGCCAGGTGCCCTCCTACGTGCTCTCCGCTCCTCACCTGCTCTGCCGACACCGCCCCCTTTCCCGCGCCGCTCCCGCTGCTCCTGCCTGTGCGACCGCCGTTCTCCGCCATCTTCGCCCCCTGCTGGGTTTCGGGCCTGCGCAGCTCAGCCCCCGCCTTGCGTCATATCCGGTCCGAGAGTTACCGCCCACTCGCCTCGGCTCCTCCGGCTCCAGGCGGCTCTTCGGGTCTCTTCCTGTGAATGGTTCTGGCTGTAGCTTCATGTAGGACCTACTCCCTATTCGGCCGGCCGCGGTGAATTCCACCTGCGGTACTTTAACTTGTGCAAGAGATGCTGCCCCTGGGAGAGGCGGGGAAGGATGGGTTAACTGGAGGATGGGGGTGCGGATTGGGATCTGGGTTTCTTTACCCCTGCCCACCCCCGGGTGGTGGGGAACGAGGGAGGGTGAACTTCCCCTCAAAGATTCTGGTGTAAGGGAGGAAATATGCTCAGAGTCAAGAAAGCTGTGCCAAGTGCACAGTCAAGGAGAAAGGCTTGGGAAAATCAAGGAAGTTTCCCGTAGATGACTTTTGAGCTGCGGAAACGTTTAGCAGAGAAGAGCTTCAGCTTAATGTGAGGTCACTGGAAGATGAGGTATTCAGGCGCCAAGCAGAGCTCCTACCTCCATCTTTCCACTTGATGAACTTTTCCCGTAGCCCGTAATTACGTAAAAAGTGTTTTTGAAGACTTGGGGGGGGGGGTTACTTTCAGGTCCCATTCAACGTTACAGAATGAAGGGAGGAGTCAGAGAAGCCTATAAATTTATTGCTTGAGGGAGGGGCTGGTGCCCTGATTTCTCACCTTCCTCAGGCTGGGCTTCATCATCAGGCCTTCTCAGCAGCTCCTGCCCCTTCTTCTGTGTCCTGGACTCCGGATACCTCAACTCTCAGTTCATTGTGTTCAGCCCAGGTAACGTGTTTTGTTATGTCCTCAGTGCCTGGCACATAGTAGATGTTCAATAAATGTTTGTTAAATGGATGGTGGGAGACAGGGGTGTTAACCATCCACAGAACATTTGATTGGTGAGCCCCACTAGCCCTGGGTCAGTGTGCCCATTAAGAGCAGAATCAAAAGGAAGGCCAGCCTTCCTGCCTCCCCATTTGAGCCCCTTATCTTTAAACTTGGGTTTCCCCATGCTAGGAAATCTGAGAATCCTGCCTGTGCCATTCACAGGCCCAGAGCCATGGCTATCTCCATTTCCTCCTGGGAACAGCCCCTGGTGGCTGTGTGCCAGGTAACATCGACACCAGACAAGCAACAGAACTTTAAAACATGTGCTGAGCTGGTTCGAGAGGCTGCCAGACTGGGTGCTTGCTTGGCTTTCCTCCCTGAGGCATTTGACTTCATTGCTCGGGACCCTGCAGAGACGCTACGCCTGTCTGAGCCACTGGGTGGGAACCTTTTGGGAGAATATACCCAGCTTGCCAGGTATCAGGGAAAGGGGGAGGGAGAGGTAGAATCTTTGTTGTGCAGTGTCTCTGGATTGCTAGATATGAGAACAGAGCCTTGAGAGAGTTGTCAGTGTCCCTTCCCCCCAGGGAATGTGGACTCTGGCTGTCCTTGGGTGGTTTCCATGAGCGTGGCCAAGACTGGGAGCAGACTCAGAAAATCTACAATTGTCATGTGCTTCTGAACAGCAAGGGTGAGACTTCACAACCCTTTAGCCTGCCTCTTTCCAGGCTTTTCTACCTAAACTTAGATTTTCCAGAATTCTGTTTTCTCAACTCATTTCCTTGGCCCAAGGTTTAGGGGCGTTTGTACTTTTGTTCCTAGCTTTTAAACTCTTTCTTCCTTGGGAGAAAAGGAGCTAAGCTGGACTTCTAGAGCACCAGCACTGGGTATTCCTTCTCCCTCTCAATCTAGGATCAATAGTGGCCACTTACAGGAAGACACATCTGTGTGATGTAGAGATTCCAGGGCAGGGGCCTATGCATGAAAGCAACTCTACCATCCCGGGGCCCGGTCTTGAGTCACCTGTCAGCACACCAGCAGGCAAGGTGAGAGTTGTGAGAGGATGAGGGTGGGAGAGGAACAAGAGGGAGAGGAATAGGAATACTCTGAAGTATTCCTTCAAAGCAGTAGAGGTTATAAAGCCCTAAGGAATTGGGAAATGGGGGTATGACCAGGTGCCATGACAAACAGGACAAGGAGGCTAAGTAGGTTGTTTTTCATTCCAGATTGGTCTAGCTATCTGCTATGACATACGGTTCCCTGAACTCTCTCTGGCATTAGCTCAAGCTGGAGCAGAAATACTTACCTACCCTTCAGCTTTTGGATCTGTTACAGGCCCGGCCCACTGGGAGGTAAGAGGATACCTGTTCAAAACATAAGGGCCTTCTCTTAACCTCATTCTTCTCACTTGGCCCTACCAGTTGAAAGATTTTCTTCCCTTTCCCATCTAGTGGGGAAGTTCATCCCCCAGTTGTCTCCCATTACAGAGTAGTTAACATAGTACATCATTACTAGGCAATTATCATAATGGTCACAATGGGTAGACTGGCCTGTAATGTCCATCTTTCATTTCCCACTAGCTGCTAACATGTATATAAGTGAACACACATGTCATCCCCAGGTATTGCTGCGGGCCCGTGCCATTGAAACCCAGTGCTACGTAGTGGCAGCAGCACAGTGTGGACGCCATCATGAGAAGAGAGCAAGTTATGGCCACAGCATGGTGGTGGACCCCTGGGGAACAGTGGTGGCCCGCTGCTCGGAGGGGCCAGGCCTCTGCCTTGCTCGAATCGATCTCAACTACCTTCGACAGTTGCGCCAACATCTGCCTGTGTTCCAGCACCGTAGGCCTGACCTCTATGGTAATCTGGGTCACCCACTATCTTAAGACTTTTGCCTTCTGTGAGTTGAGACCCCCATAGTGAGCTGGTGCTGCTGTGACTTGTAGGCAGGACCCAAGCGCAGCTCCCCTCACTTGGAGAACCTTGACTCTCTTGATGGAACACAGGCTTAGCTTCTTGGCAAAGAAAAAACTTTCACCTGAGCTCAGATTTCAGTTTCAGAAAGGTGGAATTTTATATAGTCACTGTTTATTTCATGAAAACTGAAGTTATGCTGAGGGCTGAGCAGCACTGGCATGGAAAAAATATAATAACCACAAAGTCTGTGTCTGGACATCTCCTTTGAGAGCTGGAAGGGAAGGTGATATTGTACAGCTGACTAGGCTCCAGTTCTAGGCCTCCTGACTCATTTAACATACCTCCCTACCTAAATAAAAGTGCAACACTCAGTGCATGTCCCAGCCCCATTCTCCCAAGTGTGGGAGTGGGAATAGGGGTAGAGCAGCAGAAGGAAAAAGGAGTTGATACTGAATTACTTCATTTTCACCTATGATGCCCTTTGCCCAAGTCAGAAGAAAACAAAGGGGAAGGGCTGCAGGGTACATTATTTATTTTCACTTGAACATGGAAGGAAAGTATCACACTCCCCCTTCCCCTTTTCAGGGGGAGTGCATTTTAGTCAACAACCTATTCTCCCTCCACATTGTGTATGTGTGTACACATACACATCACAGTTGGGAGAGTTGACTAGGCTGACCCAGTCCTCTTATTACTCCCTTGAAGAGGATTTGACAAAGGAGGGGAAGGAAGGAGCCACACCAGGCAGAGGTTTCAAGCCATGGAATGGAGAAAAGAAGGCAGAGAGGAGCAGCACCAGAGGCCAGGAGAGAGTGGAAAGGGCCACAGCTTGTTTTTTAAAAACTCTGTAATTTGGAAGAGGGTAGTGATTAATTTCCAAAATACACTTCGGAGTCCCACCTTCCACATAGCTCCCTTACTCACAGCCCTTTGGTTTTTCAGACAAATTTAAGAGCCCTCATAAAGCCAAAAGTATTAATAACCCCCTCAATGCACCCAAAAGCAGTGTTCACTTCAATCTCTTAGAAAGACTATGTTCTATAGACTCTGCGTCTCCCTACACATTTGTCTTTCGGCTCAGTGGTAAGGTGGCTGTAGAGACACACATTAGGGGGTAAGTGGAAAAGGGAAACAAAGGGAAGCCCAAGCACATGGGTGCGGGGCGGGGGGTGGGGTGGGGGAACACCACTTCCACTTTCCTTTGTCTTTTCCTTTTAAAAAAAAAAAAAAAAGGCAGGGGTGTGATTGGTTGGAAAGGTAGAGAACAAACCCCAGAACAGTATGTAAGCTCCAGAGGTGGGTGGTGGGAACAGTCCCCAGAGAAGGGGGAAAAGGTCAGGGCAATGCTTGAAGCATCAAGTTCCTCAGGAGTTTCTGTCGGCCCAGCTCATAGTCCTCCTCATCCACGTTCACCAGCAGCTTGATGGCCTCGTGGCCCACAGCTTGCTTGAGGGAGTCTGTGATGAAAACACCTTTAAGTGCCTCTAGTAATGAGCCATTGATGTAGTCGCGCCAGAATGCGTCGAGGTAGGTGAGCTCAGAAAACTTGATGTCACAGATGATGGAGCCCAGGTCCCGGGACTTGAGGATGGTGTTGGCCTGGTTAAAGCGCTCAAACTGGCGCTCAAGTGGGTCCTGCTTGTTAGAGAAGACGTTGCCCTGCAGAGCAGTCTCATGCTGGCAGTATTCAGCCCGAACCCGCAATCTGATGTCTGTGGGAAAGAAAAGAAATGGAGAAGAGGTTACAGTGAAGGATGACTTTACAACCCAAGTTTGAAAAGCTGAAAAGAACAGCAGAGGCTGACTGATTATCTCAGTTGGTTAGAGCATGGTGCTGATAACACCAAGGTTCAATCCCTGTACCAGCCAAAAAAAACCAGCAGAATAGCAAAGTAGGGAACATCACCTGACAACTTCTCTACTTCCCCAGGACTAGTACTTTTCTATGTATCTCTGAAATCCTTGCCTCAATGCAGGAGGGACATGCCCCAGTCAGCATTATTCCCATCACTCATAAGTAGCATCTTGCTTATAGGAGATATTTTCCTAATTAACAGGCACAGAAGTTAATTTTAATACTCTGTATCCTACAAAAAGGAAGTCATAATGGCATGCCTTTGATCTAGTATTAACTAAAATGAGTTGAAAAGTACCCTGCCATAAAGATAAAGAGGAGTTCTCCCACCAGGGACTAAACCATTCAGCCTCACTTTGCAACAGCAATCAAAGTGAGCCTTTCTGAATAGCATAAACTGCCCCAGTGTCCCAGCAGTTCTTTATACTTTCCCTCAAGTCTACTCCACCTCTGGAACCCTTGAACTTTCTCACCACATGTCTGCTTTTCCTTGGGATCTGGTGTCACTGACTTCCGGCGTTTTCTCTGGCTCCCAAGCGTGGCTCTCCCTCGGGCTGGCCGCTTGCTACACATCTGAGGACCCGAAGTGGGGCAGCACACCACAGGATAGTGGGGAGGCACTAATCAGGAGGTAGAAACAGAAGAAAACATAGTAGGGCAAAAGTAGAAACACTTCTCTTAGAACTCTGATCATTTAGACTTAGCACTAAAAGCAGTATCAAAAATGTGACCTGAAAGGAAGATACAATGTGAAAGCAAATACAGGACTTAAGTGAAGCATTAATACCACCTGACTTTTTTATGGGACTAGGTGTGGGAAGACAACATCCTTAAGTTTAAGCTGGCAATGCCAGGAATAGGATGGGATCAGTATCCTTTTACTTGATTTATAGAAATTTGGAGGAATTAATATCATCTCACCTGTTTTAGGGGGTTGGGGAGGCCTCGGTTCTGGATCACTGAGGGCTCGGGGGGTCACATAGCGAATAGATGTCTCCTCCAGATACTTGTCTACGAGATCAGGGCACACTGTAGGGGGAGAAGGAGTCATTCAGGAAAAGATTCACTGCTCCCTTTTTCCAGTCCAAACCTCCAATGGGTCTCAACTTATTCTCCTAGTACTCTCCAGGTCAATGCCTCCTCCCCCTGGATTCTGACGCTGTTCACTCCCGGCCTCCCATACTCTTCCCTGATTCCAGTGTCCCCAGCTCCCAGTACACCCTCACCAGCCCGTCTCCTCTTGAGGGTGACATAGGGCAGCAGGTCATGGCGAGTGATGATGCGCAGCAGCTGCAGCACTTGGCGAAAGTTGCTCTCATCACAGCGGCCCTGGCGCTCCAGCGCCAATAAGAAGTCACGTCCATTTCGGATGAGTCCACGCTCGTGGTCATCAATGACATCAACAAAGAGGAAGGAAAGCACACGCACATCTCTGTGCGTCAGGTGGGTGCCCACGATGTCAAACATGCGGTGCAGGCTATACAGCCCATGCTCCTGCTCACCATGCTCTTCTGGCCACACCTGGCTTGCCCGCCGCTTTAGGCCCGCCATGCTGGGGGCTCAGGTATGCAATAATTTCCAGAATCCTTGCTCAGCAGCTGCAATATCCACTGTACTGTAAGGACAGGGAAAGAACCTGTGAGTCATTCAATGGCAGGAACTAGTCTTATTCATCCTTATATTTCCAATGCCTAACACAATGCCTGGCACAGTATAGTGTTTAATACATGTTTATTAAATTTTAAAAATAAACCCTATAGCTCTCCATACCCAACAGATGCTTTCCTAAGTCCAAGTCCAGAGCCTGCCAGAGAAATATAGTCACTACCTGTAAGTGACAATGTTGTATGCAATTATAATGCTACATATTCAGCAAAAGTTGCTACTAGATATTACCCTGATTGTTCCTCTTTCTTCCAAAATTCTACTTTTGGTGCTCTGAAAACTGTGTTCCCTCCTCTAACCAGTTCACCTCTTAAATACAGGCAAAATTGAAAAGAAGTAGAGAATTCACTCTTAACTCTAATATGTACCTAATATGGAATTTAGGGAAACTGAAAATCTTTAGAATTAGAACTAGTTTAAATTTTAACTATATCACTAACGAGCTGTGTAGCTTCATGACCTTAAGTAAGTCATTTAACTTCAAAGTCTCAATGTGCTCATCTATAAAGCAGGGATGAAAGATTCTACTCCTCAGAGTTGTTCAGAATCCAAAGAGCGGCCAGCCGCCGCCCAAAAAGAATAATCCAATGAGAAGGGCTGGCCAGTTAGCTCAGATGCTTAGAGCGTGGTGTTGATAACACCGAGGTCAAGGGTTCAGATCCCTGTACTGGCCAACCACCAAAAGGAAAAAAAGAAAGAATTCAATGAGAAAATACATACGAAATCACTTTGTAAACTTGTATATAAATGGCTGTGGAAGAGATTTCAAAATATAAGCATCCTTGACTTCTGCAGCCCAGACTCATCCCTCTTCAAAACTATCCTCATTTTCCCCACAATCCAAGTCCAGAAGCATAACTGCTCAGAAGGTTAATCAATAATAATCACCAAAACTTGCACATTTAAATCAACAAAAATTTATTAAGTTCGTACATTGAGTATTCTTGTAATTCTCCTATTGAATTCTCCTACTTGTATTTCCTTGATCTTTACACCACTTGGATATACCAACTTTTAACCTTTTCTCATGATGTCACTTATCAGTCCCCTGTCAATGATCATTCACAGTTTTGTTCATTATTTTGAACTATATTTGAATTTTATTCATTATAAAATTTGGCACGGATTCACAAAGTTCCTCCATCATCCTGGGTAACATCAGTGACCCAGTCATTAACCAATCCTCAAATCCAACAACTTCCACCTCCGCTCTAGTAACACATGCTTACTGCCCCACCGGACAGGACCACCCAATACTGTCCCACCCTCTGACCACACCTCCAATCACCCAATCGATTCTAAATTCCTGTTGATGCTACTTCTAAATATTTCTTAAATCTGCCCCACCTTTCCACCTCCACGGCCACCACCACTGCTCTGGCTCAGATCCCAATAATCTCTCACATGGACTACTGCAAGCAACTGTGTGTTTAAGGGTTCCTCCTACCACCAATCTTCACCCACCTACATTCATTCCCCACGTCTAGTTGAGTTAGCTGTCTAAAATGCTAAGTTACAACACATAACTTTCCTGCTTAGGACTGGTCAGTCTACAGCCCCCTCCTTACCTATAACACTACAAATTCCTTATACAGCACACCAAGCTTTCCGAGATCAGGCCTACCTTTCCAAGCTCATCTCCCACCACATCCAACTTTTTATTCTCTAACATTATCAGTTTGTTTATAGTTCAAATACATCATGCAGTTCATTTCTCTATACCTTTCTTCGGGCTATTTCCTTTGCCTAAATACCCCTCTTCTTTCTCTATTCCACACCCTCTTTTTCAGATGGCTAACTCCTACTCATCCTTTAAGAGTCAGCTCAGATGCCATCTTTAAAATGCATTCTTCATACCCCCATGCTGGGATAAGTAGTCCTCTTCTGTGCTCTTTTGGAACACTGCATGTTTCCTTTATACCATTTATCATGGCGTACTAAAATTATTTGTGTACTTATTATCCCATTAGATCCTACGTGATTCATGGAGAGGGACTAAATCATATTCATCTTTATATCTCTAGTGCCTAGTAATGGACAGAGCCTGGCACACAGTAGTAGAAGCAACCTGATGTTGAACTGAACTTTATCTGTAAGAGATCACCACACATGAAAGTCTAAGGACCCCATTAAAAGTCTTGAGAGGACCCCATTAAAAATAAACACATGTAACTTGGTTACCATCTATATATTCTGCTTGCCATAGTCTCCTCTACACTGCAGAACTACCCACACCACACCACACTACGCTACTCAACAATAAGATAGGTTGCTCTGTCCATTTCATACACTAAGAAACTAAGGCTAGGCTAGGAAAGAGAACAAAATTATAAGCTACTTCAGAAGCTGATGGGGACTCAGAAAGCTGAAGAGCAAGTAGGACCTGGTCCTCTCTTCCTCAGTAAAATTAAGATGGAAACACAAGAGAGACTCATACCCTTAAGAAATGGGGAGGTACCCCTTGAAATCACTTAAACCCAAACCATTAGTTCTGATATGTGGAAAGAAAATATAACCCAAATATAGTTTTGAGAACCCGGATGCCCCATCCAAAGCATGGGAAACAGCTGGGAAAATACTATTCGACTGTAGGCTGTTTTTTCTTGTCTCTTCCTCTCTTCTTTCACCCACTATTGTCACTGGGTACAAATGGAGGTGCTGAAGAAAAATAACTTCTTGCTCATAAAAGGCAACATGAGAAAACTGAGCCTCCTTAGTGCCCCTTCAACTTCTCCTTGTTCCCTATCCCACCTGTTCCTTTTGGCCAGCTGTTGATTATGAGGATCACAGAGAAAACAGATGGGCAGGTTTCACATTCAACCAATTAGAAAACCAGGTTACTCCAGAATTTCCTAATTCAAAATAGCTTGAACCCCAGGAAATGAATATTGTCCCCACATTACCTTGCCACTGGAAAATGAGGCAAAGTATGGGAAAATACTATGGTCTTAATTATGCATCAGTGAATGCAATTCTACAATAGACTGCAATCCCCTGAGGGTTAGTTAACTCCCTACATTTGAGAGGAAAAAAATAAAAAACAAAAAAACCCCAGCCATCTTTGAATCCTAAACCCCAGGCTGGATTATCCAAGGTACTAGGAATTATCAGAGCTTCTAGGTCAGTGGTCCCCAACCAGGGGCAAATTTGACCCCCAGAGGACATCTGGCAATGTCTAGAGACATTTCTGATTGTCGTGTCTAGGGAGAAGGAGGGGTGTTACCAGCATGTAATGAGTAGAGGCCAGGAATGCCGATAAACATCCTATAATACACAAGACAGTCCCTCACTACAAAGAATTATCTAGCCCAAAATGTCAATAATGTTGAGTATGAGAAACCCTATTCTAGGTGGAGCATGATGAAAGGTCAAAAGAATGCATGTAGCTTTCCACACTAGATCTGGAGAAGGAAGCCATTTAGTTGCTCCAACTCAAACCCATCAAATAATATTTCAAAAGAAAAGAAAGACACGTCAGACATAGGCTCATTTAACTCATAAGTCCAAGTAACAATACGAGTTTCATCCCACTCCAACACTGGCTCCTCTATCACCTGCTGTTGCAATTCAGGTGAACAGCAGGTGGTAGGGCTACACTCTCTTCTGCCCCATCCCAGGAGGTCTACTTTGACCTAGTTCAGTCTGGAGTTCTATGGGGATAAGAGAAATGCCATTCTCTGCAAGATAAACAGAAAGGATCCTGCTCTTAAGTCTCAGGATCATCTTTAAAGTCCTGAAACTAGACCAGTATCAGACCCTTCCTTGTTATGTCGTTGATCAGACATATGCTGCTTATTCAATGTGAAGCAAAATGCAGAAGTAGTATAAGTTTCCCAAAGCCATGTCCTTGGGAGAAATGTCAGGAGGATAACAGGCAGGCAGGCAATAGGTGGCCCTCCCCACTTAATTATCATCTAGGATGGTAAGTTCACTCACTCAGCAACCCAGATGGGGGTCCAGGAATCTATCTAACTTCAGCATTAAAAGAACGTGACCAACTTCCTCTTAAACCAAAATGTACTCAGTTTTCTGTGGCAGTGAAGTAAGGGAGCTCAGCTTAAAATATAGAGAGCCTAGATGAAAGGTTATCAGAGTGGTGAGGAGCGTGTACCTCTTTAAACAGAAGATTAGAAAGAACTTGAGTCTTGGTATTTGAAACATTGCCACAAGGTACCAAGAGACAAACATTCCAGTAAATAGAGTCCTGATCCCACTGGCTGGTCTGGCTTCATTTGAGATACTAATATATGAGTCTCTCTTACAGTTTCCCAAGAATAATTCCTGATTCTGATGAATTGCTGTATTTTCTGGGGTTCTAGTTGTTTTTTTTTTGTTTGTTTTCTTCAGAGAGGTCCAAGTCAGCCAAGGATCAACTGACATGTCTATGTATCTACAGGATTTCCTTCTGATTGGTCATTCTCTACTGGCTTTCCACTTCCAAGCAAAGTCTAGTCTCGTCCCAACCAGGGATGATATCTGTACTTTTTGAAGTACTTGACTCAGAAGCCTTTAGAGGAAGGCCATGTGGAAGAACTACAGATATTTGACTCTCTCAGAAGCCCTTAGAGGAAAGTCAGGAAGAAGAAATAAAAAAGAGTGATGTTTTGAAGCCTAAAATGAAAACTACATGGAAAATCTTAAAGATGGCTGAGTACATAATGAGCTTTCTTGCTGATGGGACTAGGAAAATGTAACCAAATATCTGTCAGTCAGAATTACATAGTATGTTTTCAAAAGAAGATTCCAAGAATCCTGAACAGCTGGAAGGAAGAGTAAGCTAGAGGAAAAGCCTTCCCACAGAAGTAAGGTGTCTCAGCAACCCTCCAAGGGCAACATTTAGTAGACAATGTACTAGAGTACAGCATTCCATATGTAAAAATGTTTCAGAACTGACCAAGACTAGATAATAACAAACCAAAACTGGGGGCTTGTCCAAAGACACCCAATTTCCCCTTTCTTTTCCCATCTATCTACAGTTACCTAAAGAGATAGCGATTGCAACAGATCTTATGCATTCAGTGGGGTAATGAAAACTCATTTTCCCTGGCATCTATCCCATTACTGGGCTCAACCACAGTACATTTCTCATGCCATTTCCATTCCTTTCCATTGTCTGAAAACAATAAAAAGTTCCAGACTTACCTGTGCAAGAGACTTAATTTCCCAGGTCTCCTCCTAGCACAAATTTCAAAGCCAGCAGCAAAACAAAAACAAATGGGGGTGGGGGGGGAAGAGTCAATATTTAGGCTTTACTTCGAAACCTCAAAGGCTCATAGAATTAGTCAATCTCAGCTGCAAAACTACAGACAAACCTAAAGCCATTTCAATTGAAATAATCCACTCCAACATAAAGGAGACAACTCACCCCCCAAAAGTCTTCTCTCTCTACTTGTCAATTCACAATTCGATACCAACTTCAAGAACTTCTGATCTCAATTTCTGATGACAAGAAAGGTCTTAAATTCAAAAACTTCTGGGAAAACCGATTACTCTCTGACACGTCACTTTCCTCTTCAATTCCTTATTCTACCTATTTTGTTACAATATTGACTTTCATCTTTAAAGAAAACTGGGAGGAAAGTGATTACAGACCAGAACTATCTTCCAAATTCTAACTTCATCCTTTCCCTTAACTAGCACACGAGAACAAAATATCTACTGAGGCATACATCCACATTTCACCAGGGAACGTTTTTTCTATTTATGCATATTGACCCTGTCCCTCCTGGCAAAAAAAGGGTCTGGAAACTCATTTCATTAGCCTCACTGCCTAGATGCATTCTGTCTTTTCTGTTTCCCTCCTCAGACTTCCAGATCCTCCACCTTAGCAATATAGTCATGTCTGTACCCACATTCTTGTACTGCTAATTGGTAAAAGCTAGAATAGTCCTTTACTCCTCCACACTCGGGTGACACCAGCTTCCCCATTTTCCCTTCTTTTCGTAACCAGGAAAAACAAGAAAGCAGAGTTAGCTAGGGAGCCTTTTGGAAAGCAAATCCAGTTGAATCGTCATCCAACCCCAATTCTCCAAACCCACATGACCATTCCCTTCTGCCCTTCCCACCCTATTAAAAGCTAAGGGCCTGGCAATTAGAATTAGCTGCAACTGATGCTGCTTAACTCTGCTCTCTCTTCCTTTCCACAGGGGAAAGGGAAACCCTATCACCCGTGCAGCTCCACTGTCCTATCTCCCATCCCATTCCTCTTCCTCCCAAACTTTCCTCCCAGTCTCTCACTTTCTTCATTAGCTCGTCACACCGACAGTCTTTCCATTCCCCAAACCTTCGTTCTCTCCTTTTCCACCCAAATTCTACCCTAGGCCCTTCCCCCTCCCACCTCCAACTTAACACTTTGAAAACCTTTCCCCCCGGCAAACGTCTTAAGTCCAATTCTCACCTTTTCCCACCTCCTCACAACACCCCTCACAAGAGTCCAGTCCTGCCTCCAACGACATGCCACAAGCCCCTTCCCCCTCACACCCTCAGCCTCTCTCTCCTGCTCCCACCCCCTTCAATCCGGCCGGATCCCAGCCCGACTCCGCACCTCGGCCTCCCAAATACCCCTAGGCTGGCCCAGTCCCGGCCCTTGTTTACGCCCCTCCTCATGCTCCCACTCCTCCGCCTCAACCCCTGTCCTCTCCCACAGTTGCCATCTCCCCTGCACACCCCCCTCGACTGCTCCCCTCCCCCACCTCGCAGCGTCCCGTCACCTCCCTCTCTTGAGGTTCTCAGGCTGGACGTCGCCACCGCCTCCCCCTTCCACTTTCCTTCCCCAAGCCCTTTGCGGCCCCGCCCGGCCCCGCCCCGCCCCGTCCCGTTCGACTCCCCC